GCTCTGTTCCAGCTAAAAACCAGGACATTTACACAACCAGTTAAAACAGATTTGTTAGCAGATGAAAATAATGCAAACGAGAAATCTGAGAATAGTTCAGATACGATCCGTTAGACTAGAGAGCAGAGACATTTAGTCCTTGGCTATGTCACAGACTTTCTGTATGGCTGTGGGCAAGTCTCAACACATACACTTTACTTTTCCATCTGGTAACACACAGTGACAAACAAAACAGTTATCATGCAGTGCTTGCCATCAACTCTACATTCTTTACACATTAAAAAAAAAGCCTATTGGCATTTGTGGTCTCAGCCTAAATTTCTATGCCTTTCACCATCTTTTAATGTCAGTTGTTGCTCTGTGCAGTATGAGCTTCCAGTGGTGCAGATTCACAGGAGAAGCTGTGACCATCTTTGATAGTACAGGTGATCACAGTGCACATCATGAAGAACTCTGATACTGAACTGTGGGAATGATCCAAGACCTGGAAGTCACGAGTCTTCTTCGTTGAAGAATATTAATCCACTGCTAAAGTTTGAGTAGTCATAGTATAGACAGAGTTCCAGCATTTTCAGAGCCACCTTATGTTCCTGCTCTAAACAGATTTAGACAATACCACGAAGAGGTGTGCAGCTCCTGCAGCAGTGACTGACCTCTTCATGGCTTTAATAATGGGAAATCATCCAAAAAAATGCAGACAGGAATTGTGCAGTTTCCACAAAAGCAGCACAGCAGCATCTAGCTAAGTGCACTCTACTGCCACAGGCAGTAACAGACTAAACAGATTAAAATGTGATGCAGTTCAAATACTGAATTTCTGTATGATTTACTGCACTTTCTCTAGGGGTCAGGTTTTTGTGTTTAAAATTAGTCAGGAAGTTGATTATAAAGGGATTTGAAGCTAAACCTGATTTAGCTGAAATCTTGCAGGTACAGTTTGCAGCTCCACCAGTTCAAGCCAGCAGGTTATACTGATAGATTCAAACTAAGGAGATGGGTTTGGGATGAATGGGATCTCCCATGAACTGTCACTGTTGATCCATATTAGTGGTTTCAAGATGTCTAAGGACTTAGTGGCCCCTGACATGTGAACTCACATGTTCAAAGCCCTGGCCAGGCTGACAATACCCGTGGGCGCTTACTCTGCACCTGAAGAATTCTAGTGACAAGCCATAGGTAGTTCCAGTCATGTGCTACTGCACCAATAATATATACTTAGTTCTCACTTTTAACTGGCTGTTTCCCATTACTCAGAAGAACTCTGTTCCTTTCAGAGTCTGGGGTCCCACAGCTTGTGCAGCCAATGATCTGGGACTATGCAGCGGACCTCGATGTGGAGGGCAAAGGTTTGTACTTCTCTGCTGAGCTGCTTAGAAGTAAAGAGCTTTGTTACTTCTTAAGCAAAATAGACAAAACAATAGTATGATTAAAACATACCTTAGTTGGACACCAAAATATTCTGTTTTTGTTAAATTGCTTTTTATTGCTTTAATAGTGCTGACATAGCCTATGTTTGATCTCATATAATAGTTGCTGTTTATTTTTCTATTTATGCTTCTCCCGTGAAGGACTTGCATTGTTTGCTGCTTAATTCTTTTCAACAGGGCTATGGAATCACTGGTGGGAGATGGAGAGGTTTCTCACAAGCAGATAGCTCCATATTGAACACTGAGCTGAGCACTGGGACAGGCCGCCCAGAGAGGGTGTGGAATCTCCCTCCCTGGAGATATTCAAAAAACATCTGGACAAAATCCTGGTTCATGTGCTCTAGGAGTCCCTGCTTGAGCATAGAGGTTTTACCAGATGACCTTCAGAGGTCCCTTCCAACCTCAACCATTTTGTGATTCTGTGATTGAATCTCTACAAAGAATTTCAAGGCTTCATACATTTATAGAATTCAAAGGAAAAACTCCTGAAGGCTCCCATAAGAGAATCAATCAGGCATCTAACATGCATATGAATTTTTCTTTGTTGAAAGAAGAATCAGTTGTCAGATGCTGTGCTTGCTTGTTACATACCCTCAGTTCTTAGCACTGAAGCAGTTTAGCAATTCAAGGGAATGGAATAGGGTAACTGGGCACATGAAGAGGAGGGCAGTCCAACACTGAAAGAGGTTCCTCAGCGAGCATGTCAAATCTCCCATCCTTGCTGATGCTCAGAACTTGATAGGACAAGGCTCAGCAGCCTGTTGTAACTGGGCCTGGGTTCCTGTTAATTGGGGCATTACAGTCGAGGCTGAAAATGGAGAGAAACTTGTCCTGTAAGTGTTCTTTTGTGTCTTATTTCAGTGCATCTCATAGAGAAGTATCATAGATGTGGCTTCTCCAAGGTGTGGTTTGCTAGTGCTTTTAAAGGAGCTACTGGGGTGAATCAGTCTCTAACGCTTATCGGACACCATTTAAAGAACCATCTTCAGTGGCTGAAAGTGGCAAGCACTAGCCCCGCTGATGTCCTTGAAGGTATCGCGCTGACCGGCTGGCAAAGGTAAGGAGCATCTTTTTAAGTGGTTCCAAGGAACAGACATGGAAGCAAACTTCCACCCAAAAACTCCCTAAGAGGTACAGTGGGGATTTAGAAGGGAACTTTGCGATCCTTCCTGCTGGGCCTCACCTACTGACTGTGAAGGGTGGATTTCAGAGTTCCAGGGAACTGCTACAGCATTAATCAGCAGGAGCAATTGCTTTGGCAGACACCAACAATAGCAGATTGGATTTGAAGGCTTGAACATACTTTGTGCCACCTTGAACTGCTTATAGGAGGCATTGTTAACACAGTGCATGGTGTACATCTGAGTATCTAATGTGAATTCAAATAGAATGAAGTAGCGTAAGAGAGAAGACTTTGTTAATGTAATAATGAAGGAGTAAGAGGTTTTTATGCAAGTCAGGAGGTCTGAGGGAATACCAGAGCTGAATTCTAATATCTGACCTTAACTGGCTTGAGGAAGTAATTTGTTTGATTATCTGTTCTCTTCAGTAAAACAGGAATACTTGGCGTTTCAGAGATGGAAGGTCCTTTCTCTGAGTCAGAAACTGATAATTCTAAAGCTCTTTGATTTGTAGTGATTGAAACATTAAGACTTCCCCCTGTTCTGACACTAAAATGTCTAATTAATGAATAATTCTTTATTTAGGTATGATCACTTCTCTGTTTTGTGTGAGCTTCTCCCTGTGGCAATTCCATCACTGGCTGTATGTCTGCAGGCACTAAAGAATGGTACAATGACAACTTTATTCTCTCTCAGCTAATGCCTAGCACAAGAGTGAAGTGACCTTGCCCTAAGGTTGGCACAGGCTTACTATATTTTGAGGTGGTTTGACTATCTGATCATGGTCTGAACTATGAACTATAAATTATACATATTGCATGTTTGTGATACGGGAGCAGAGAAGCCTCTTGGCCTTTTAAAAACAGCCACAGTATACTAATAATTTATTATGTTTTAACCTATAAATGGTCACAAGCTTCATGCTTATACTAAAAAAAAAATAAATTATGTAGCTGAATTGCTTTTGAAACTGGTTTGAAACACTGCTAGTATATAAATGAGACGTTTCATTTAGATTTAGATCTTGTCTACATGTAAAAGTTGTTTTAACTAATCAATTTTCTTAAAACTGATCTAGGTAGTAGACTCGTAAAATACTTCCTGTAGTTTCTGGTTTCTTTGCAGGCAGTTGCCAATAGAATTTTTATTTTTTACTTTCTACATTTCTTATTTTCAAAATAAAAATCCCACAACTTACTTGTTTTTAAGCAAGGCACTAAAAATATTCAGCACACTGAATGGAAAGCTTATAGCTAGTAAGTGCTTTACCTAGCACAAGACAATTGTGTGAAAGACAATGTACTCCTCCCACCACCAAGTTTTTTTCCTTGTTCTATTTCCATTTTACCTTTTAAAAAATCTTAATCCAAGGAGAACTACTAAGCCAATGCAAAGTTCTCCAGAAGAATGCTCTTTTATGAACACGATGGTTATTTAGGCTCCTTTTACTTATTTCCACTGTCTTCTACCAGGTGGCTATTCTGAAAAGATTAAAGAAAATGTGGAAAAGCTCCTGGGAATGTCCAACCTGGAAACTGATACTTTCATGAGGTAAAATTCCAGCTGTGGGATTCAGATGTTTGTCATGGTGTGGTAAGTTCAGAAACTAACAGATCCTCTTTGGACAGCACGAGTTTGGGAACCTTTCCTGGGAGCAACATCCTTACGCTTGTGACTCAAGTTAGTTTCTACCTCAAGTCATCAGTGGATGAACTTCTTGAAAGGAACAGGTAATAAGATTTATGTTGATTCTCTGGCTGTCTGCAGGAGTGTGGGAGCTGTATCACCTCAAATTGGAGCATAACTCCAATTAAAGTGATTTAACATCCAGCTCTACATTTGAGGCATCACATCGCTACATATTGACACCTCAGCAGAACGTAATACTTAGATGCAAATTCAAAGTATTTCAGCAGAATTCCTCAACACTGTGTGCTGTCTTATTTAAAGAATCGAGTTCTTTCCTGAATTCAATTTTACTGTTATTTAAAGTTAAAATGATTTTTTTTAATGGTATGGTTACCAAAAAAAAAGAAGCTTGAAATGAAACTTAAATTGTAACAGATGATCAGTTATTCTTATCTGCCAAGAACAGTCTTTTATAAGCTAGTTCCAAAGATATGCAGACTTAAATTTTCTTATTCCTTAAGCATTATTTCTATTTGTGCAGGAAAAGTGCAGCTAAAGCCTCCCTGTCAGCTTACAGACACATATGTCACTGCTGCTTCAAAAACTGCTCACACTAACATTCATTTTCAGATATGTCACAGGCTGGTTTAGCCCCTACCACAGAAAAAGGAAGATTATTCATCCTATAATAATGCATCACTTTCAGCCAGATGCAGTAAGGTAACACCATTTATTTTGCATTATCATGGAAATAAAGTCTGTCATATTTTGGGCACTTAAGTACATATAGTTTTGAGTCTTTGCCTCTTTTTAAAATTACTTCAAAGCCATCAGTGGAAATCAAATTATATGAAGTATTCATAATATGGTTTTAAACAGAAGAGCATGTTTATCTTTGTCTGCCTTCTGCTGAACAGAATACTAGTACAAAATCGGTGTCTGGAAAACTCTTCTTTGTATATGGAGTTACTCCTCCATATCTTATGTATACTATAATACATATATATATATATCTATATCTTAAAAACCTGGTGCCTATTACAAGAAGTTCTTAGCCTCAGCGTAGGAGCTCAGCATGGGCCAGTTTCCAGGCAGGGCTTGGAATAAAACCAGACCCCTTTCCCCAACTCCCTGTCACTGCACGTGCTTTTGAGAACTCGTCCTAAAGATGATGCCAATTCATTCTAAATGGCTAATTTATATACATTTTTTGCTATGATAAAGTGAACATCCAACTGCATCTATTCAGGCTGATAAAAAACAGAATTAAATTCCCAGCAAGTCTCACAGTGGGTTTCAGTTACAGTTAAAGTGTATATACTGTTTTTTTGAGCTCATATTTCTGTACTTCAAAAGTCATTGCATAAGAAAAGTGCCAAGAGTAATGGTACTTAAACACAAACAGCATCAACCTTTTGCCATCTGCACAAAATCAAGTCCCTTGAGCTTTTGTAATAGATGCTTCTTTTCCTGCAAAGTCATTTTAAGGACTGTACTCCCTTTAAAAGGCCCACTAAGCTAACCCTCCCTCGAGGCAGAGCTCAGCTGTGAATGTGATTGTTTCTTCCTTCCAATTTGTGCTTAGTCTTCTCTCCAAGTGGAATGCTGTGGTGCAAGACCTCCAAGCAGCCATGGAGCAAGTTTTCTACAAGTGTACTGTAGAGGAGTGGATGGAAGAGAACGTCCATCCCAGCCTACAGAAGCTGCAGGAAGTGGTGGATGATTTAGATAAAGCAATAAAAGCACAAAATTAGGTGCCTTTCCATTCAATTAGGCTGTCTTGTTACATGGGAAAACATGGAAATCTGCAACTAGTCATAGAGCTAGTTTGTCATCTTAACTCTTGAAGCAAAAACTGCAATTAAACAAAAGTGACCTGAAAGCATAAATTTATTAGTATTATTAAACTTCAATTCTGTTTTAATTCTGTCTTCATGCATTGCTGAGCCTTAAATCACCCACCCTGTAAGTCAGATTTGCTCCCCTTGCATAAGAGAATGCAGGAGTGAGTCAGAACTCAGCTTTCTTACAAGGCAGGAAAAAAACCCAGTTTCTTCCAAATTCAGTATTTGTAGTAATAGACTTTGTTATGTAAGAATGACCTGGAAATGTTCCACGAGTTCTACTCTAGTCAGTAGTCAGCACGTTCTCCCTTTGCACTTTCCATAAAAAGAAAGATTTAGGATACTTTAAACATGCTTGAGGTCCTTATGATCTGTACTGTGACTCCTCCTCCTTTCAGCTGTGTTCAGAGATGTGACCTGCCCTTCCATCATGACAAACCCTTCCACAGCATACAGCAGTTAATTTGTTCCAAATTTTGTTTGGGACTTTTTCAGTCTTTGAAATACATAAAACCATTGGTCTTAAATACAGCTTTGAAATCAGGAAATTAACATCCAGGTTTTTGCAGCACTCTGTGCAAGGAACTGCTGTCTGGATGCTCCCCAGGTTCCAGCAGAGGTATGAAAGAACACACACCATCACAGTACAGAGCAAGAGGAAGCTGTAGAAAAGGGGCTTGTTGGCAGTAGTGGAGGTGACACTTGGATTTTGAGGGAAAACTGCCTTAACACATGGGGCTTCTTGACTTTTTACCAAAGCATCATCTAAGCTAAGTGTAGTTTCATCCCCACAGAAAAGCACCATCCCAGTCACTTAAAAATAAATAAATAAAAATAAAGTATGTAAAACCTGAGACTGCAGGTTCATACAAATTGGAAGCCTGACTGAAGTCTATTGACTATGAGGGGGAAAATGCTAAGTTTTATTCTGCTTTAATGTTGAACTTCTAATAATGTATAGCAATATATTTTTGTGGACTTAACTGGAGCATTACAATAATCACCATGAGGGGAAACAATGGAAAAGTCTGGTAGTTACGTACACTCCCATGAATATTCAAAATATGCTTTACTTGTTTGCTTCATTTACAGCTTTCTTGAAAGTCTTATTTTTGAAGCACAGGTATTGAAATCTTGGAACAATCTTTTATAAAATTAGTGTAGCTCTAGATACAAAAAGTAGAAAGAATACAGCATAAGACAAATCTTTAACTTTTTTAATGAGAGCTACAGGAGTTAGGTCCACATGCAGATTTTTATCTAAAAAGAAGCAATTGCTATGTATATCTTAATTACAGAAGTCATATACCTTGGACTAAACAGGATCTTAATTTATTTTACTTTAATAAATCCTTTAATACTCAAAATGTTTGTGCGTTCATGGAAACATGCCTTTTTTTCCCCTCTCACATGTGGCTTGTTGGTTTGGTTTAAAGGGGGGGAAAATGCAAATATATTTACCAGTGGAGAGTTGGTTATATTGGCTTATTTGAAATCGAAAGCTGGACTGCTGTAAAAGAGTGAAAGCAGAGTCAGTAAGGAACAAGGTATTTGGGCTTCCTGTACTCTGTCCTCCCCCCCATTAACTCCTTCAGTGGTAGTTTAGAGTACCATCAATATTTTAATACATTTTAATTGAAATCAGTAAAAAAGACTACAGTGACACAAAACAAGTTATCAAAGTTGATTTTATCAGTGGACATTTTTTTTTTCAATCTCTAGTAGTACCTAACTTCCTAACCAAAACTAGTCTCACATCATTCCTTTCAGTACGAGCCACTTTACATCAGGCACACACAAGGCTGCGTTTCCTGGGCCTTTCACTCTGCCAGGCCCAAGAGAAGTGAGGAAAACCATCCAAAAAAAGCCTTCAGCAAAATGGTGAAAAGTAGCAAGGAAAGAGGATCAGAGAGAAGACTGGTGGAAAGAGGGAAGACCACAACCTGTCCTGAGTTAGCACCTGCTCTTCTAAATGGTTCCTTCAAGCTACATCACATTGCTGAGGTGCCCACAGACATTACCGGAACCAAATCCACGTCAGCTACAATTTGAAAGTTAATTTTCCATGCACATAGTTACTGCAAAACATGAAAATCTGGCTGTGTCTTCTAGGGACAAAAGACAAACATTTTTTGAAGATAGGAAGCTCAAAACCTGGAACAAGAGAAATACACATCAGCCTGCGATACGCATTTGTGTACAGCATCCAAGTCCTTTTTACCTGCACTGCATCACAGTCAGTTCCCAGCTCCACCTCCCAGCCAGCAGTGCCTGATGCACAGCCCACGGGCAGAACCCACAGCATCTGAAGAATTTACTCCATCCCTTTTTACATTAGCTCAGTCTACACAACTCGGGTTCCCATTTGAAACTATACTCGTTTGTAAGGCCACAGAGCTGCCAAATGCAACATGGAAATGGTACAAGGCAGGATTACACCAGCTGCTGCAAGTGAAAGACTGAGGAGTCAAAAATATTCCTCCTCCACCCACAGTGCACGCCAGCAGTCATCCCCCTGCAGCCTGCCATCAGCAGGATACCGAGGTGTGAGGGGGACACTACATCTTTAAAGAGATGCTCATTGAACATCAACTCAAAATGCAACTCATTTCACAGATGTTGTGTCTTACTAATAGGTCATTCCCCTTTCTAGGGATTCTCAATTTTCCTTACATTGTTTTAGTCTCTGTATAATGACATTGCATAGTCTGTAAGTATAAACCTTACTAACATCAAGAATGTACAGCAAGCTGGATGCACAAAAGAGCTCAGCAGAAGCAGGGCACATAGTGCAGCACAGGGTTAGATCAATAGATGTACCTTTCCAAAACTGATTTTTAACTGGAAAAACCACACTGTGGTTTCTATCTTCCATGGAATGGTAGGACTCATGGAAATACAAAAGAAACCCAGTGTAGCTAACATTGAATACAGGTAGTTTTGTCCATTTAATCCATTTAATGGTCAAATTTGTGGGCTCAGAATATTAAGCATAATGCACATCCATACCACATACTCCCTCTGAATACCCTTGCTAAAAAACTGCAGTTATCTGCAGGTTGAGCTCTTTTGCTTGCGTTATACTATTAAATACTCTAGTTTTTTCAGTATTTCTTATTATTAGTCCTTAGAACACTTCACATTTTCATTTTATACAGTGCAGGCAGCAGAAAGGGAGTTCTCCAAATTCCCAATCTTAGTTCTCTCACCAAAATGAGTGTCACCTGGGATATATATTAGAGTGGATTTAAATGAAGAACTCAAAGTGTTACTTCCTGCAATATTTTTTTAAAATTGGTTTGATAATTATTCTTAGCTTACAGCTTTGCTTCAGAATAAAGGCCAAATTTAGTGAATTCCCACATTTGTGCATAACAGTTTGCCAATTCCAGTTATGTGGCATGGAGATTGGAAGCCACACGATTAGCCCACCACTCAAGAGGACTTCACAAGCATGTCTATTGGCAGAGGTCTGCTTTGATACCTGATGTGATTACAAGTTTCATTCCTTATTTAATAGAAATAGGCCTTAATAGAAATAGGCTCATTTCTGTGCTGCAGTCAGGCTGCATCAGCAGCTACATCCCTGTTGCTGTTGGACTGAAAGGGTAATCACAGTGTAAGAGCAGCTTTGTCTCACAGCTCACATACTGGGTCTAAATGGCTGGAAGTGAAATCCTGGTACAACCTCTTCTTTGGTCAGATAAGCACGTGCTTAGTTTCAGATATAGCTGGAACACACAACCAGACATTAAATCTTTTCAGAGCTTTCTCTTCTGTAGAGGTAGAGTGCTTGGAAACAAGAATGCAGGTTTTTAAGTCCCAAAGAAAGTGCTGCCAGAAGACATTTGCTGCTGGCCAAACATGAAAGCAGACCACACAGTTACTGTGCACCCCATTCAGATCTCCTAGAAGTAACTGTGTAAATATTTTCTAATTCAGGTCTTAACACCATACAATTCCTAAATAAAACCTAGTGAACTTTAATACAAGCAGTTTTAGCATGTTAAAGGAACTTTCAGTTCTTTACAACTTTTTTCTTGTACTGACAAGTTGATGCAGGCATGATGGAGTTTTAGTTCTAGATAGAACATGTTGACTAACAGAGGTAGCTTTTACTTAAAAAAAAAAAAAATCTTGGGAAGTTCATATTTTAACCATTTGTGAAACCACTGGTCAGAACAGAGGACACTACACACACCTGGAGTAAAACATGAGTGCAAGTCAAATATTGGATCTATCCCAGCTGTCTTAAAAAAAAAAATAAGTTATTATTTAGCACTTAGGTATCATTTCAAGTGAGGAAATACTAAACAAATTTAGGCTGCCATGTTTGACATCAGTCTTTTCCCTACTTAAAGTAACAATTGTGGTTTTCTTCCTTTCTAAATACACAGGTAAAATAGCAAATATTGAGGTCTAGAAAAAAAAAAGTTATTCTATCTTGGGGTAGTCTATGCCCAGAAGTTAAGCAGAACAGGATTAAGCTAGAACACCCCAAAGATGTTGAATCATCAACGTATCAACATGATCTTTTTTTTTTTTTTTTTTTTTTTTTTTTTACTATTTATGTCTCCTTGGCAAGTCTAAGAGAAGTAAGACAATATAACAAGTTGATCAACCTGATGTTTACAGTTCCAGACAGTCACCCAAACATTCATTTCCACTGGAATCTAATGGCAAGTCAGTAGCACAGAATGTAAAAATGCCACTATCCTGCATCACCTAATTGCATATATTAAGCTGCTTATAACCAATTTAGCAATATATTCAGTCAGTTATAACATTTCAAGAAAAGCCTCAAAGCACTGTGTTATGAGTGACAAATTCAGGTCTTCTACATTTCATACACTGTACCTGCAGACATTTGCAGTAAGTGGAAGTTTACATCTCTGTCTCCACTTCATTAATGGGAAAACAATAAATTATTTCAGACCAATTAATTAA